AATGAAGCACACATGTTATACGTTTCCTGTCTCTTATACACATCTAGATGTGTATAAGAGACAGCATACATACATACATACATACTGTACATTATATACATACATATATCAAATGACACTGTTGGTGTATTGGAGGAACATAAGTATTTTATTGCACATGAATATTTCGCCCTGTCCTCAGAACTTTCTCAACGTGAATGAACGAAAACCATCAGCTATGAAATAACTTGTAGGTAAACCAAGAGCTATGAAATAATAGTAAATAATAATGAAATAACAATAAGACAATGCTTAATTAGTTATTTGTGACCACTAGCAAAACTTAGATCTCTGTTAAGTTCCTTAGTATGTGATTCAATATGGAGGATTCATCGTAACTCCATGCAACTCCTATCTTTAGTTGATTTGTTGTCACTGCCTATGATGATGAAATGAAAATTGGAAATTGAATGCACGAATGAATTGAAATAGTTACTCACATTTATTGCAATAAATCGTATAAACCACATTAGAGTGATCACAATCTAATCTGGGGGTACGTATTGTGCAATCTGTCCCAGGTACATGGAATAAACTATCTGTTGTAATAACAGTGCAAATTTGGCATGTAGGTTTTAAATATGGTGTGTTACCATATTCATGGGTGGTTGATCGGAATAATTGGAAGTCAAAATCAATTTTAAATTGGGTGGCTGTCGTCCAGCAGTGATGGGTGGATTGCAAAAAGAGGCCAAAATGTAAAAGATTAGGAATATTTTTTTCTGAAATTAGTGTACAGTACTCCCTATTGAGCTTAATAATAATTACTTGGAAAAATTTTAAAAATGCAAAACATAATTAATGCATTGTTAAAACAAAATCTTACACCTAAAAATGTGTGTTATTATATCCCTCCTTAGATCCCAAACATTATTTTCGATATTGGTGTTTATAACTCCATTACATGCATTAAAGAATTGTAAGCTACTATTTTAAATTTCTCTTTGGAAAGAAAGAGAAAGTTGAGAATAATTGGTAAAACAAATTGAAAGCGAGTTGAAATTATTAATATACCAAGTGAAAATACATGAAATGACAAAGTTATTTGATGAGAAAATATTAACATGGAAAAGGCAATCATGTTTAGTGGTGCTTAAATGGAGTTGAGTATATAAATACAGTACCTCAATTTTACCACACATACAGTACTTTTATTTTGCCTACTAAAATGATGATCAGATCTCGATGATAACATACAACCAGATCATAAATTGTTTGATAATTGTATCAAAATATAAATGTAAGACTACATTTTAATAGTTCCATTTTAAAGGAACTTGTGTAAAAGACCTTTATGATGATGATTTTCCTTTTTTCATACAAAAACATATTTAAAATAAAATTCATAGTAATGCTCTAGTAATTGAATATTTTACACTTATGCACTAGTGTAATCTTAATAGAATAGATTTATATACTAGAAATTGCAAATTGCACGTGAAGTGCTGCGAAGTAAAACTGCATAAAATGTTCTTCGAACAAAATTATTTATGCGAGTCAAGTGAAAATAATGAATAATAAAAATATAACAAATAATATGAGACACGACCCATTGTCTATATTAGAACAGCGTTGGTACAGTGTACAATAGTGTTTTGCTGCAGTGGCATCTCGCTGATGGCGACTTGTTGCTGCTGGCCGATGACTCGCTGCTGGCCAATCGATCTGTGCATGTGTATAAAATGGTATTTATTTCCGAAAACACTATGCCAGTCTACAACAAGCGTCGTCTAAATGTAATAATTAGCACGTTGAAATAGGCTAGTAAATAATTTTAACTGGGTTCGTAAATAATATTGGCCTCAAATATTGTGGCTGAGACATGAGCCGATTAAACGTAGAAATAGGAAATCTAGAAATATAGTAAAAACGCTGAATAGTACTCCAGCGTCGCGACATGCGGACGTTGGTACGAGTAGGTTAGTCTACAAACGTCGCCTAAAGAAATTGATTTTACCCGGCAGAACGAAAGAAGGAAACTCCGCTTTTCAGTTGTCTTAGGCGCAGGTTTTTTGACAAACAATGACCTTTCAGCGGTCAAATTGCTGTCAAGAATATGAATTGAAATATGAAATAAGAAATTACAAAAGCCATTAATACTGCAAACCTATAAGAAAGAAATTTGTTGAAAATATTTAATCATAATTAAGTGTTTTCAAATAATTTGAATTTAAACCATTAAATAATCTATCCTAAAAACTGATGCACATGGTGATTGTGTAAATTGGAAAATATTACAAATTTGCTATTCGAACAGAATATTGTTAAACAAATAAGGGTTTCTGAAGATAAATATTGTGATTTCTGCCATTGATTTGAACTTTATGAAACAATGAATGTATGTTTGTTTTATGCAACTATGGTGTAAAGTTACTAAAATTATCTCAGTTGTTACTAGAAAATATATAAACTTATCAACTTGTGATATTACCTTTGAAATAAATACAGCTGTATTATGTTTCAAAAGGTCAATAGAATGATTTTAATTTTTTAAAATGAAAGATGGAAAACATGCATGCATACATGTTTTTATTAATGACCTATCTTTAAGGGAAATGCAAAATCGCCAGCTTGACAGATGGCAAAATTGATACACAACTGTTTAGATTATTTGTATAGATGACTCGTATGCAACTTAGGCCTTCATGTCTTCCATTGTTATTTTCATGTCGTGTTTTGGGATTTTGCTCACTTCAGATTGAAGTAGTTTGTAGAATTTATCCTTCTTGTCATCATCGTTATCATTAGTTGGGGCATAGCACTGAAAGATAGTGGTGTTGATATGTCGTCCTGTAAATCTTAACTTCATGAGTCCAGTGGCGGCGCCAGCGTGGTGGGGGGGGGGTGGTGGACACCGGACAGGTCAACCCTCCCATATGACAGAGCTCTTCGGGCAATCGGACTAAAAAATATATGAAAATAAGCACACGCCAAGCCAACACACGTCTGTCACAATCAGAGAGTGTCATTTCTGGCCACCCAGAGGTTCCTATTCTTAAAAAATCTCATTTGGGAGTGGGAACACACTATCAACCCTTCCTTCAGCTCGGGCCTACGAGCCCAAGTCCCCCGCACCCCTGTCGGGCAGCTCAGCACCCCCCCGCCCCAGAAGATATATCCTAGAGCTGCCACTGCATGAGTCTGCTGTTTATTGGTTTCCACTTCAGAAGATTCCACTCTACTCCCTTCTTTAGAATGACAGCTACTCCTTCAGAGTGGTGTCCATCATCTCTACCAGAGTATAACATTGTCTCTCCTGTGTTTGTTTCGTGGCGTCATTATCCTGTCCATCTGCAAATTATAGCATCGCAGTCAGAGCCTGTTTATCTACACATTTCTGAATTTTAGTAATGTATATGCCTGAACTAATGTAGTTTTATTTATATAGCGCTTTATACTGAAGTATCAAAGTGCAGCGGACTAGCTCGTACAGTAACTTACTCCTCCCCTGAGGTTGTCTTCATGTCTGAGCTACCCGGTAAACTGGTACCAGCTGTCTCTCGTCTGTCCACAACAGGGGCTGTATGGACCAGTACACTGGGGTAACCCTTTACTCATCTCAAAAGATGTACTGGGTTCTTTTAAGTGCAGACGAGCCAAATTGTGTACACTGGGCCTACGGTTTAAAGTCCTTATTTGAGAAGACTTGTTCCACCACCAGAGCCATAGGCAAGCATGCCATTCAAACCAGCGCCAATATTATGGCTGTAGGTTACGGCGCCCCTGCACTAAATGCTCAGCCATCCAACTCGCTTGAAGACCCAGTATCTGCATTTTTAAACATTTATTTAATATGTACTACTAGCTTTATAATATTAAAACATTAATTTACTATTGTCTTGCAAGCTACTTCCTAACAAATAGACACAAATAGAATAATATAATAAAACTGGAATCTTAAAATGCCAAAATGCGTTTTAGTAAGAAAGCCTAAAGTTTCAGGAAAGATCACATCTATTTGGTGGTTGAGTGTGCAGCAGATGCTCCTGTGTTGTGTAATCTGTGGCAACAATGCTGAGATGTGATCTAAAGATCATCTTCTTCCTAACATGTTCCATCATGCGAGGTTACGCTTTACACAATTTGTTTCCATTTGTTTGTTTTTTTAAAGCAGGATGATTTTTTTTATAGTTTTTGTGTTTCTTTCAAGTGTTTTTCCATTTGGCTCACCCAGTTATTTTTGGGTTTTCCTACATTTCGTTTGCATTCCGTTTTAGCTCTCCGTTTGTTTTTTTGACTGGTGTTTTTTCCGGTAATCTAATTTAATATGGTATGTGTCCCTATCACTTTAATCTCCTGCGTTCTGAAATCAACTGTTCATCAAGCAACAAAATGTTAATGTTAATTAATATTAATGTTTAACATTAAGATAAACAAATCTAAAATGTTTGTTTCTTTTTTGTTAAAAATACTAAAGTGCCATCAGTGGAACCAAGTAAACCTTTAAATATAACATGTTATTTGAGGCCATTTATTAGTGTATAGTGTGGTAATCACTTAATTCTCTAACAAGTACAAATCTGTTGTAATTGCAAAAAAAAAATTTTGAAAAAAAATAGGTAAGCTCTACATCATGTTAATTATATAACTTATATTGCAGACATATGTATGCGTGAGGAAGAAGAAAAAGAGCAAAGTGAGCTCCTTGTGAGTCAAGCAAGAGGTCATCAGTATGTCAAGCAAAGCAAGCACACAGCTAGTGAAGGTAAAAAATTGCGTTCACATACACACGTCATCTAAGCTTATATTTTTATTTATTCCAATTTTTACTAGACCATTTGTCATATAAGGGAACATGAAACTTATGAGGAAAAAAAATATACAGTGAGAGGTTTCAATGAATAACTGTTTTTAGGTAAAACTTACAAAATTTATTGACAAAAAAGATTGATGTTCTGTTTTGAAAAGAATCATTGATCTTTTTTGTCAATAAATTTTGTGTTAAAGTTATAGTAAACGTCTGTTAATTCGTAAAAAAATTAACAAAATAATACTTTTAAATCACAATTTAACCCCTGACTTGATTAGTGACCTTAGGTTGGTGATAGGAACAGGGTATCACTTGTCAAATGTTGTTTAAAGGTTTGCATGGCAATGTAATAATATATTTAATGCTTGCGGTACACCACTGCAAGCAAATATATTAAATATATTTTCAAATGTTAATTTAAGGTGTAGGTCAATGACCACAATAGACTGACTAAGATATTTTTCCATGTGTAAAAATAACCACACTAATTGTTGTTTCAGGTTCCCATTCAAGCATAGACCTACAGCCAATGAAAGGTAAATATATTATGTTTTGATATTTATCTTCGTCTATTGTTAATATCAGAACATGATCTGGCCATATGCTATTGTATAGTCAATTAAAGTCATATGCAGTATAATTTAAATTTATTTTTTTTTCTGTAAAACTTTTAATATTATTCAGATTTTAATACTTTGTTTCGTCACATTGGACAATTTGTAAAACCTAAAAAATAGTGTTTTATTTGCATTATAATCCACTATCTTAGGAAATACCTACAGTTGTATTATGTTTTAAAAAAGGTCAATTTCATAATTTTAATAGAGAATTCTCATTATGCAATATGGAAAACATGCATATCTACACGTTTTTATTAATGACCTATTTTTTAAGGGAAATGTAAAATGACCAGCTTGACGACAAAATTGATACACAACTGTTTAGATAATTTGTATAGATGACTCGTACTCAAAACGAGCGCCTTGTGCACCCTTGGTGGATATGAGCACATGATAAATCTTTATTATTATTAATAAAAATCTACAGTACATTATAACATGCATAATGGAGTAATGTTATTGTTTTATAGAAATGTCAGAGCGGCAATTCCGTGTTCTTAAAATGGTTGTCTCAAATTGGTATACGGAAAATAAATGCCTTACTATGTTGAAAGTGCTTTTCAGAGATATGGTGGACAATATGAAACTAGCAGTAAGAACTAACACGATAGACTTGATTAATGAATTGGTGACACAGGGCAAGATGAGTGCAAAGGACCCTACTCTACTGTATGATACCATCAGTATAACTGGACATAATATTGCACTGCAAACTAAGATTAAGGAAAAACTACCATCATTCCAAGATGTAGAAGGAGGAACTGTTTCAACAAATTTCACAGCTCATCGACAAAAGCTGATGAAATTGGGGAAGAATTTGAAACAAGCTGATGTGATGGCTATCGATGGATTGTACAATACACCTCGTAAGACATACGAAGACAGTTGGAGTATGATCACTGATCTAGAAGACAGACTGGAAATCAGCGAAGGAAATATGGATGAATTCATCGAGTCATTGAAAATTCTTGAACTTCCTCTTGCATTGAAAGCACTAACAGACTAAAAGAGAATAGATCATTATCCTATCCTACTTTTATTCAAATGAGGACTACAGTATATAATTCATATCAACAGGTGAACCCAGTCCTAGAGTTCAGATGCAGCATACCTCCATGGATGCAGGTAATAGGCCCGACTAATTACCCAAATGATAGGGAATTACCCAAATGATAACCCTTTTCATTCAACATTCTCAATTCATGATACAAAATGATATAGTTCATTCATCTCACTTCTCATAAGGCTCACTTGTTATAATACTGATTTTATTTTAAATGCTTAACATATTTATGTATATTGAAATCCACCAACATCTTTGTTTGTTGTTAATCCCAGCCCAGTTATGGAATGAATAATGTTTCCCAAATGACTTGGTTAATTAAATTATTATAATAAACATAAAAAATGATGATGCTTTTGTTGAAATAGACCAATTAAAATGACCCACTTCCATTTCAATTTTTTTGGCACAATGACACCCCATACGATATTGATTTATTGAAGAATAAGTAGTTGGGTTTTCCCGGTGTGAAATAAATAGCTGACTGTTATTGTCATTTTTGGTTCCTATGCTTTCAAGCAAAGGAAACTTTAGGATACCCTTCATGTGTATGTATGTATGTGTGTATGTATGTGACATGTATGTTACGCTGTTTATTGTAAACAGGCAAAAGTGACTTCCCAGATATCTGTTCGTTATTAACGTCCGTACTCAAGCAAAACTGGATACGACTTCGTGTCATATTTAATAATTTTCTATTTTGACAAAAGCCATAACTAATGAAAGACAGTACCCCCTACCCTTGAAAAGACTATTAAGCTCTGTAAGAGGAAAACATCTTTGGCACAATGATTCCCCATACAATAATGATGAAGAATAAATAGTTGGGTTTTTCCGGTGTGAAATGAATAGGTGACTATAATTGTCATTTTTGTTTCCTATGCTTTCAAGCAAAGGAACCTTTAGGATACCCTTCATGTGTATGTATACATGTGACATGTATGTTACGCTGTTTATTGTAAACAGGCAAAAGTGACTTTCCAGATATCTGTTCGTTATGAACACCCATACCCAAGCAAAACTGAATATGACGTGTGTCCTATTTAATAATTTTCTATTTTGACAAATATTAAAGCAATAACTAATGAAAGACAATACCCCTACCCTTGACAAGGGTAGTAAACTCTAAAAGAGGTAAACATTTATGGAATAATGTTTACTTTCGTTGTCTAACTGTCTTAAATGTGATGGATTGGACTCTAGGGACTTTCCTGGGTAGTATGGACAGAAAACTTTATCTACACTCCAAAAACCTTCAATTTTATACTGTGGTTTGGATAAGGCTCTACAGATACAGCATAGAATTGTGTTGTGGTTTGATAAATACAAACTTGATACTTGACAGGATAATCATTTTGCAGCTTTTATCGGAAACTAGACTATGTGTGTACAGTGGCGGCTCTAGGGTATATTTGGTAGGGGGCTTAGATGTTCGACAAGGGGACTTGCTCAAGCTCATAGGCCCAAGCTGGGGGAAGGGTTTTAGAGGGAGTTCCCCCTCCCAAATGAGATTTTTTAAAGGAGAGGAACCTCTGGATGGCCAGAAATGACATTCTCAGACTGTGACAGGCATGTGTTGGCTTGACGTGGGCCTATTTTTATATCTTTTTTTAGTCCGACTGCCCGACGAGCTCTGTCCGATGGGGGGGGGGGTGGTGTTGACCTCTCTGTGTGTGTACAGTAAGGTATAGTGAAACCATTGTTGACTCGACCATGCTCCAACCCATAGTTAATGTAGTGGGGCCCCCACACCGGACAGGTCAAGCCCCCACCCACAATCAAACAGAGCTCGTCGGCAGTTGGACTAAAAAAATTTTAAGAATAGCTATACCAAGCCAATACTTGTCTGTCACAGTCTGAGTGTCATTTTTGGCCATCTAGAGGTTCCTTAAAAAATCCCATTTGGAAGGGAAACACCCTCACAAAATCTTCCACAAGCTCCAGCCTATGAGCTTTAGTCCCACTGTCGGATAGCTCGGCCCCCACAGCTACTAAGCCTACACCTCTTTATCATTGGCACTAAACAAGTAGAACAAAAAAAAACCTGATGCCTCAATGCGCTTAACAATAAAAATGAAACTGCCGGATTAATACTTGAGGTCTCACTGCCTTTCGATTGTTGGTCACCCTGGTCATCGCAACTACAGTACTGCAACACGAATGCCCGCACAGGGACCTTGGGCCTCGGAGAGGCGTTAGGCCTTCATCCACCATGAAGTCAAGGAAATCTTAAAGGAAGCGAGAATGCACTGAGCCGTTAATGACAGAATTTGCTTTCCAATCTATGTTCCGGAAGTTAAAATCTCCACCGATGATGATATAGCTGGCATTTTCAGAGTTACAGGCCCTATATACTGACTCACAAACTTAAAAAAGTAGAAAATAAGCCAACGGTACTGTTGCTCTACCAAACTTGGTCTAGGAAACAGACTGGTGATAATATAGGCCTGATTGGTATGGTACATCCTAATGCCAGTATGTAATAATAATATTATATGATGATCATTATCAACGGCAGTAACTACAAACATACAGTACTATCATTTAATTTTGGATTTAAAATAACTGTAAAATAATAATTCTGCAATGAATGGGGAGATTCTTTTCTTTTTTTTTTTTTCATGCTGCGACCACATGTTTCACATACTACTCCTCGTTGTTGCCTGTTGAATGAGCAATCACAGGTGGTGGCACATTGATACCATGTTTTGTTGGTTGACTGTTGGCTCACTAGATTCTCAACAATGGAATATATAATTTTACCACAACTTATTTTAAGACACGTTGTTTAGTTTAGCAACAGCACTTGGTCATGCAGCCACTAATGGCTCAAACCAAGTTGTATTTATATAATACCACTCTGATCTTCGCATCTTATTGTATTCCTCTGCTTAATGAAGAAATAAGCTACAAATTGACCTGAAATATGCATGCATGATTTATTTCTGGAGTGGTCCTATTACAGACACTTGGAGAATGAGAACGGTTGGCTGCACACATTTTTTATTTTCGAGGGCCTCCACACAATTGCCATTGGGCTGCATGTGGCCATGTTTAGCACTTTGCCCACATGCAATTTAGTATAAATACACCATTAAAACATTATATAAATTTAGTTGGTCCTGACCCAGAATTTAATGTGAAAGACAACTTTAAATTTTAATCATTCTATATTCATTGTTTCAACAATTTCTTTGCGGATTCTGCATTGCCAGCAGCAGGTTTTAGTGATGCACCAAGTTTCAGATCATTTTGTGTCTTATGAAATACAAAGTTATTAATCCAATTATGCTATTGTGCTAGGCTTACTTTTATTTTCACTTCAGATGAATGTCTTGGTTATCTGGAAGACAAGCACCTGCCACTTACTGCCAATGAAATTGGACTGGAAGGGGAACTGTGTGTCAGACTGGGCCTCAGTTGGAACAGAATCCAACAAATATGGAATGATAACAGATGATTGTCAATGTCAGACTGTATAGTGGATATGCTTACAGAATGGATGTAACAACAGAATTACGAGACAATTCAAGTTAAGATAGTGCAGAGCTTTGAATGAGCAAAGACTCGCAGAGATTGCCAACAAGATCTTTAGTTCTGAGTTAATATCAGGGTCTTTAGTTCTGAGTTAATATCAAGAGTTCACGATGGTAAGTATTGTAGGCAAATTTACAAAAATCTTTGTTTCCTCTCCTTGCCCACATTAAAATTTTGCTTTCCAATCCCAGGATTCAAATCATGTGACAGCAGAGGATTTTTTTCTGACAATTAAAAAAAACATCTCCACAGAGGAAATAAATAATAAAATATCAATTATTTATTTACAAGACATTAAAATAAAAAGAAATTAACCGTTAAAATAAATATAAACATAAACTCAATCATAAATCAAGTGAGGATGTATCTACTGCTTGAATTACTCTTTACAAGTACCGAGATCATAGGAATGTGGTTAAATCAACGCACATGCACGCTTCTCCTTCCTAGCCCTGTGCCCTGGATAAATCACAAGTCGGCAGCAGTTAGGCCTTGGCTCATTGTTCATAATGGCTTTTGAACATGATTCAACTCGGCAAGCTATTTGTAAAAGGGTAGAAAAATGTCAACCTGACCAATATAAGTAATGTGTGTTATGTTGGGATTTAGTAGGAAGGCTACTTAAGTTAATGTATTGATGCCAATCTCTAAATTTTAAAATGTGTATTAATATCTTATTTTATAATCTTCTAGAAATATAGGATAAACACTTCATAGTTCTGAAAATGGTTTATCTCAAACTGGTATGACAAATGCAGATGTCTTACTATGTTAAAAGTGTTGTTCAGAGATAATGTGCAACATGGGACACTAGCAAAAATATCTGAGACGATGGACCTGCTGAATGATTTGCTTGTACGTGGTTCAAATGATCTGACTTTACTGTGTGATACCATCAGAGTAAATGGACAATATGGTCTTCAAACAAAGATTCAAGAAACACTGTCATCATTCCTAAATGTTAAAGAAAGGAAAATTTCAACAAAATATTTCACACCTCACAGGCAAAAGCTGATGGAACTGGGGGAGAATTGACTGCAGCTGATGTGTCAAAGATAGATGGATTGTATAATGAACCTAAGGAGTATACAGACAGCTGGAGTATGATCTAGAAAGCAGACTGAAAATTAGAGAAGGAAATATGAAGGATTTGATTTGTTGGAAAAATTTAATTTCAGTCGGGCATTGGAGGCACTAACAGAAGGTACTGTATTATTCACTGTTAAAAAAGAGAATAAATCATTATGTTGTTGGCACTTATTGTTTATTCTGTCATGAAAGCCTACAAGTTCTTCAAGTTTGTTTATCTATTAATAAACATACGTTGTGGCTGTGTTTTCCCCTTCAGTTTGAAGGCATCTACTCTATTGTACATTTCTGTTACATGTGTTTATAATACCCAGTGTGCATCATTTTGATATTATTTTTAATAATTATATATGTTTTCTTATTTATTTCATCAAAATGTTTCAACAGCTGTGACCCTAAACAACTAAGAAAGTATAATACATACTCCAAGTATTGAAATACACGCCATCGTGTTGGGATTCAATATTTCGACATTAATTATGTCATCATCAGGAATGAAAAAATTATCCATATTAGCAAGCTTATATGCACTAGTACCAAAAGTGTTTAACCAATCAAAACATTACCTCTATAGGTGACATAAACAACTAAACTACAGTGTAGCTTTGAAAATTGTCCAGAGGATTTTACATGTAAATCACTTTTAAGAACATGATTGCAGCCCATTCAACTCTTATTTATCATTTATTATAAAACTTCAGCTGTAAATATTATAATTAGAATAATCAATTGTGAGAACATTAAGCATTCTTGTACCGGTTTTCAAAGAATTGTTCTTTAAATATATTTATAAATGTTAAATAAATTGTTATGATTCTCATTAGGTATTAGAGTTTCTGAGGCAAGAGATGAAAGTTTTGACCACTGGAATGAAGCATCCTGTGTTGGATGGGCTCGCAAGAAATGCATTTTCATGATTTCGAAGAGTGGAGAACATTCTATCCTGTGCGGAGAGAGATTGATAACGACAGGCAAACTACATTGGTAGTGCGAGTGACGCCGCTCTGAGCTCCGGCTCTTTAGTTTAACGTTTTGCCCACTTCCTTGATGAGCTTTTACATTAAATGTGGATTCTAAATGAAGGAAAATATATTTAATATTGCTACTTTCAATGTTAGAGGATTAGGCGACAAATTCAAGAGACATCAACTAGCAACAGATATAACAAATTATAAGGTGGACGTAGCCTGCCGTCAAGAAACTAAACTCACAGAGACGATTGACGAATACGTACACAAATGCCGATTCATCAACCTAGGCACTAAGGTTAAGTATTATGGATGTGGCTTCATTATTCACAAGCGATGGGCACCAAGTATTTCTAAATTTTGGAAAGTTTCAGACCGAATATCAGTTTTACAACTTAAAACGAAGGAGAACAAGTTTATTACTTTAATTAATGTCTATGCACCCACCAAAAATACCCGGCCGAACGTGAACGTATGTACAAGGAATTAGATTAACTCGTAAGTAAATTTGCAAATAAGACATTTCTTCTAATATGCGGAGATTTTAATTCAAAAATTGGCAAGAAACATTTAGATGAAGAAAAATGTATCGGAAATAGCGCTTTTCAACACCCTGCAAGACACATCACAACTTGGGCATGTCAACGGAAAAACAAAAATGGACAATTAATTAATATTTACAACCAGATAGACTTTATTATTTGTAAAACAAGGTGCAAAAAACACTACCTTGTAACTCTAGATCATACGGAGGTACACAATTAATAAGCGATCATAGAATCGTAATAACAACACTTACATTGACTTGGCATAACATTAAACGACAACGAAACTCAAACAATAGTAGGCAGTTTGCATGTGAAAAACTGGCGGATAAAGACAAACGAAAGAAGTATGTGGACGATCTTATTCAAAACACAACAGATAACAGAATACCTGATCGACCCAATAGAGCGTGGGAACATATAAGAAAAGTGATTAAAAGAGCTGCAGAAAATTCTGTTGGTTTCAAACAAAGAAATCAAAACAACAATGGAAATTACGACGAAGAAATTCAAGATCTATCCATTAAACAGAAAAACATACGGTTAAGGATTACAAAATGCAAAAAAGACGACGAACGAAATATTCTTAAAAAAGAAAGAAACAAGGTACTACATGAAATCCAACACCGAACAAGTGAAAATAGAAACAATGAACTTGACGCTAAAAGTTATGACATTGACCAAGCCGTTAACGGCGCCAGAATGTTTAGAGCGGTAAAAGAACTTTATAGAAAAAAATACGAAATTCCAAAAGTCGTAGATGACAGCGAAAAATTTATTGGAAACGATCAGGAAACTGCTAGGGCCATTGGTAAACATTTTAAAAGTAAATTCTTTAACATGAATGGTCCGATCATCGCACCATTCGAAGGACAAGGAAGGCCTCTTATAAATGAAATAACAAAATCCGAAGTTTACAAAAGTTTAAAAAAAACTAAACAATAATCGCTCAGCTGGAGAAGATGAATTAAAGGGTGAACTATTAAAATATGGTGCAGATGTTCTGTCGCCTATTATAGCAAACATTTTCAATAATATTTTCATAATGCATGAACCAATTGATATAAATAAAGGTATCCTTGTCGCACTACAAAAACCTGGTAAGGAAAAGGGTCCGATGAAAAATCTCAGACCAGTCATATTACTCAACACCATCAGAAAATGCATGTCACTGATTGTGCTAGAAAGAATCCGCCACAAAATTGACAGCTACCTACCAACAAGTAAAAGTGGATTCCGACCTGGACGCAGCACAAGCGACGTAGTTATGACTTATAAATGGATGATTGCCAAAGCATCAAGATACAATCTTGAATTCCACATCACTGGGATTGATATGAGTGCATTCGATACCATTAACAGGGACACACTTTTACAAGTACTGAATGGGATTATTAATGAAGACGAACTTCGGATAATAAGATTTTTGCTAAGCCAAACAGGGCTCAACTTAAACTTACGAAGGACTTTAGACAACGTATATTTTGACACGAATACTGGAGTACCACAAGGGGACAGTCTTAGCCCAGTGCTCTTCACGGTGTACCTTGAACATGCCTTAAGGGGAATTAGGGGGAGAAGTAATGATCATATTCCAAATGAGATCTCGTATGCGGATGATGTCGATTTCATCAGGCTAAACGAGAAGGCTAATGTAGACCTTATTGGAACTCACCTAATTTCGTTTAATCTCAAAGTAAACAAAGATAAAACAGAATACACAGTAATTAAACGAGAAGAACTGGTCAAAGAGAACTGGAGACTAACAAAAAAGTTAGGGTCCCTTCTTGGAGACAAAGAAGATATCACCAGAAGGAAACAACTTGCTGTGAACGCAATGAACAAAAAGACAGCACTCTGGAACAGAAAAGAAAAAAATAGATTAAAAACAAGACCGAGGTTGTACAACTCACTAGTGAAACCGGTGCTTTTATACAATAGTAATACATGGGCCTTAACAAAAGATGATGAACTAAAGCTAAACACTTTCCATCGTAAGCAACTCCGAAAGATTATTGGACTGAAATATCCACATAGAATATCAAATAAACACCTTTATGATAGATGTACGGCGAGACCCTTGTCACTATATAATAATAATAATAACAACTTTATTTTATAACGGTCAAAAAACTCGTTCACCCAAGTGGGTGTTCTTCCACGAGGCCGTATGGACATTAAACAAAATAATTGTGTTAGATTAAAATAATTAAGTATAAATTTTAGAATCGAGATGGCGATTATTTGGCCACATCCTGAGACAAAACACAAACAATCCTACAAACCTGGCAATCAACTTCTACTTCACCAAGACCAATAACAGAAAATTCAGGGGACGTCCAAGGACTACAATAATCACAACTTTCCATAACGACCTATAGTAAGATCCAGTCTACCAATACTCAATATCCTGCTCAACTAAAAATTAAAAATGATATGGAGAAATTAAATTACTGGCACAAAACAGACACAATTGGAAAGGGCTCATCGAGGAACTAAGTAAAGCGGCCGAAGCGTAACTGTCATCGGACTTTTCGGCGATACGGCGATGATGATGATGAGGCAAACTACAGAGGATGTTCAAGAAAAAGAAACCAGCGACAGGAATCCCATTCTTACCAGGTATTGATACACTGCTCTAATATTAAAATTCCATTTTAATATTTTTCTGAAATATTTCTTGAATGTTTGCATAACAAGTGAAAATTTCAAAAAATTGAACTTTTGGTACACTATTTGTAAAAAATATGGTTTTTCAGAATATAATATATGTACACTTATTGAATGACAAGTAAAACTCTTCATTTTAAAATTAAAGTTTCGGTACAGTATGTGTAAAATATGGTCTTTAGGAAAAAACAAAACACTAATTGGTTGTCTCGACGTTCCCTTGAGATTGCTCTGACTGTCATCAGGAAAATAGAGACCTTCAATTCGCTGCCAGCTTTAGTGATGCTAATGTTAATCAGCTTTAAAAGTTGATGCTTGAGTGTCATTTAGTGTAAAACAATATAAAAACTGTACAATTTTATCCTAATCATAACGTTGTTAGATACTCTATTTGATCTGTTATTAATTTATTGGTTACAGGTCCTTCAATGGAAACCTCAGATGTCAGCATTACCGAGGCAGGGCAACCAGTTTGGTGTTTTTGTACTCGTAAATTATAGATTGTTATTGGTAATTTTAATCCACTTTTAAAAGTCAGGGCTTAAGTGTCATTTTGTATTAAAAAAATATGAAAACTGTATAATCTGATTTGGTCCTATCAACGTTTTTGGGTATTACATTTGATCTGTTAATAATGTAATGGTTACAGATCCTTCAGTGGATACCGCAAATGTTAGCATAAATGTAGAGACAGCGCAACCAGGTTGATGTTGCAGGCACTGTTTCACACATTATTATGAATAAATCTATTTTTCATTATTATTTTTATTTACTAGGTATTATATTATCTTTATTTCAGAATAAAATCTAGGTTGTGTGGATGATAAGCACTTATATCTTATTGCCAAAGACATGAGACTGGAAGGCGATCAACTAGGGCGCAGCCTAGGTCTCAGTTGGAGCAAGCCTGAGATACAACAAATATGGAGTGATAACAGACGATTGCTGGAATGCATAATGGATATGCTGACAGAATGGAGAAAACAACAGGACTATGAGACAGATGAAGTTGAGATAATGTGCAGGGCTTTAAAAGAGCAGGCACTCACCGAGTTTGCTAACAAGGTCTTTGGCTCACAAACATCAGAGGATCAATCATCCCATGTACAAGCAAGTACAGATCATCCTTGTGGAAGATTACATTGAATGAACCAGCAACATGATGGTCAGTCACTCACTATTGATACAGATATCATATGATAATGATAAAAATGATGATAGTGATACTGGATAATTATAATAAATTGTTTTAATTCTGTTTTCGTTAAATCAGTAGTAACTTGAGCAGTATCTCTCCATAGTGCATTTCACTGTTCTGTGCCTGAATACTGAATATGCAGGCCATGTATGATGGGCGATTCAGTTATTTTCTGTCTTGCGGTACCTGAATACTGAATAATTCACAGGCCGTGTACGATGGGGCATTTCATTAACTCAATATTTTCTACCATTTTACTAAAAGGTCATGATAATTATTTGACTATCTTTTGCGTAATCTTGTTAATAGATAGCGGTGAATACATGATACCATAAAATCCTTTGGCGGAGGTAAAAACAATAGTAATACCTCTTATTAAGTTTACAGTACTAATATTAGATATTAATAGCTTTCATTCTGTCTCAGGTTGCTTGGCTGATACTGATCTTCAGTTCATTGCTGGAAGACTTGACAATGACTGGAAATGAAGAGCTATGAATAAATCAAATTGCAAGAATATATTCAGGACACATGCTTTGGAGACCAAAATAACATTACATCATGACTATATATGGGCACATCATGATTATATATAGGCACATCATGAATGTATATGGGCACATCATGACTACATATGGGCACATCATGACTATATATGGGCTCATCATGACTATATATGGGCACATCATGACTATATATAGGTACATCATGACTATATATGGCCGTCCAACAACTTTTCGTTATTAAAAGAAAATGTGATAATCCGGACAGAGCTTAAGCCTGATTTTCATAAAATAAAATCGCTATATTGTCGCTACAGTGATTTCCATGCAATGGTTGCACTGTGTAGCTGTCTCCAACAACTGACCAATCAGCATTGCCAAAAACATCTGACATGCCTAAATATGGTCATGATGACATCACATCATGACCATATATAGTGATATCATGACTATACTGTATATCAGCACACTGTACAATAGTTTCTTTCTCAAAGAAAATTTGATAGTCTGGACAGAGCTTAAGCCTGTTTTTCATAAAATCGCTACATTGTCGCTACATGCAATGGTTGTGCTGTGTAGCTGTCCCCAGCGCAATTTCGAAGGCCTCGCGACTTGACCGACCAATCAGCATTGCCAAAACGTTTATTAACGTTGATAAAGATAGCAGGAGCTATCGAAATATCCGTTGTATATATATACATATATATGTATATATATATATATATATATGTATATATATACGTATATATAAATACGTATTGTATAGTGCATTGTGTGCAGATTAGAAAGCATTTGCTTATCCCACCTACCTTTATATATAACGCCTGAAGTACTACACTGTATCTGTCAGGGATAATGTGTGGATGTGTGTGTGTGTGTATATATTGTAACGAATCTCCTTCGTCTGTCAGGATAATTAGACCTATTTATGAGCGTCAGGGTTCGGCTGCGGTTGTACACCACCGACTTCACTAAACAGAAAGCAATCAAATAATACAGACACAATTTGAATTCACGATTCATGTGAGGCAAGTCCGTTTTTATTTCCAAAATAACTATTCTAGTACTCACCCTTCATAGGGTCGTAGTATTCGTAAAGTAAACGTGCAACCTTGATGTAACAATGGAAGATCAATAACGGAACCAACTGAAGTCTCCCCCATGTAGTGGGCTTATTTGCATAACTTTCCCATTCCCACAAGGGCCAATCAGAGCGTGGCTTACAGCTGTCTAATTAATTGGGCTACCACCCCTCAGGGCTGTTTCAACAATTGGGGAGACATTTCGTTACAATATATATATATACTGTATATATTTCAAAATTTCTTCGGTTTAATTTTCAGCTTAAAATTATTTCTCTCTTCTAGTTTTCTATCTTGACTGTAAAGAGAAAAATGACTCTATGACTGTAAAGAGAAAAACAACTTAAGCTAATAGCTTAAGTTGTTTTTCTTACTTGATTGATTGATTGACTGCGCCACATTCGTGTGTGCTGCCACTGTTGTAAAAATGATGTAAAATAAATATTATTATGCTCTTTAAAGGTTTAGAGTGGAATAGCCGAGTACAAGTTTTGAATTCTGGTAAACAGTTTCTGATTGGTTAGTTCCCCATTCTTACTAGCCAATCAAGTGATGTAGTAAAATTAAGCAAGTTAGTTTTGAATGAGGGGATTTTCTTTGAAATGCTTTGTTTGTTTAAGATATTTTTTTTTGTGAAATATATATTTTAAATTTTGCATTCATTTATCAAACTTGTTTTTGGATAGGTTTGTTTCAAATAATAGGAGATTCTTGGTATTTTGTTCCTTTCTGTGCCTTTTAGTTGTTTAATTTACAGATCAAACTTGACAATTTTTGAAGTGTAATGACACAATTTTTTGAATTCAAGTTTGTAGATATATAGGTACCTTTTACAAGAAAAATGGCATTTATTCAGAAACTATTTTCAAAATGGTTATTATGCATGACTGTATATTGTAAAGGAAATGGTACAGCTTATTAGTATAGAGGAAGGGTGTTTGCCTAATCAGTGGAAGTCCCTAGATGGGCTCTGGTTGGATAATAAGATCAGTGTCATGTAATGATCATATGCTAGAGACAGAAGCCAATAAAAGAAGTCGAACTATGAGAAGTTATGACTTGATCTCCCTGTGTTTAAAGTAGACGACCTATTGTATAACTTACTTTGGAATATTATATATAGGGGTTTTTTTCTAAATTATAGTAATTTATCAATTTAAGTCAAGTAAACTAGATTGTGTAAGTGATTTTAAATTTCTACTTTCGGCTCAAACCTCGGGAAGTCCCGTTTTAATTTTATGTGAACAAAATAATAGGCAAAATTAGTTATAGGATATATATATTTTTATATGGTAATTTTGATGAATTGTGTATGTTTTGATATTTAGAATTTATATTTTTCGACAGCAAATACTAACACCTTACTTTTAATAGCTATTGTTTAGTCCTTGTGTAAGTGATTTTAAATTTCTACTTTCGGCTCAAACCTCGGGAAGTCCCGTTTTAATTTTATGTGAACAAAATAATAGGCAAAATTAGTTATAGGATATATATATTTTTATATGGTAATTTTGATGAATTGTGTATCTTTTGATATTTAGAATTTATATTTTTTCGAAAGGAAATACTAACACCTTACTTTTAATAGCTATTGTTTAGTCCTTGTGTAATTTTAAAGTATACAGCAATCATTTTAAATGCCTCCTTTTTTAATGTATTCATATGTTTTTATATTGTAATGCAATGAAATTCAGGCATGCCCTGTCGATTGTAAATTATATGCCATAATAAATAATGAACAATTAGAGATCAGGGCATTGGAGGACATGTGGTAATGAAACTCTCCACCCCTCAAACTGTATGAACATTGTAGCAGTGGTAGTTTTAAGATTCATATAGCACTGCAATTTGTCTGACAGGCAGTCTTCAATGTTTTTCAAATACAAAAGAGTGAACAGTAATGCTCTGGTCAGGGGGAAATGCATCCTGATGAAAACATGGGTAATTTTTAAAATTTGTAAATACATGCTGCCACCAAAATACTGTAAAAAGAACAAAACATATGCATAATTTGTATACTGTATTTTAATATACAAACCAGGTTGGTAGAGCTGGTAGAATCCTACTCCAACTTAAGTACAGTTAAGATATACAGTGGTAGATTGAAGGAGGGCCCTAGTTGGCCCAAAGCCCCCCTTAAATCTTTTAAAAATTTTAAGAAAATGGAGAAAAAAGGAAAATTATATTCAAATTTTAAGTCAGAGGGTGCCATTTTCGATCATCGAAAGGCACCACAATCATAGATTTTCTCAAGTCAGCCCCCGGCCAATCGTGGTGAGGCGGGTGTGTACAGACCCAAAACCTGTGAAAGCCCCCTTTATTTCAAATATCTGGATCTGCCAATGATATATGTTTTGTTTTTATGTATATATCTTTTTGTTCTGCTGTTAGGGTTGTTCATTCTAAAGTTCTTGCTTGCTTTGAATACCTCTTTTCCATTTGTCGTTGTGTATTTTGTTACTTAATAATTCTTCATTTTGTATTGTCTTTAATTCTGATAAATGGAAATAAAGTTATTATTTGAATTTTAATTTTAATATGAATTTGAATATCAAAACTTATTCATTACATTTTTTATGCAGTTGTACATATTCATTTGGACAAGGTGAAGGTGTTATTGTTACTGATATTATTTATTGTTTAGTGTTTTTTTTTTCTCATCAACGAATTATGATTTTTCTTCCAGGCCCACCCACTGGTGCCACCACTGGTATATACAGTATTCAAATTGTAGGCCGGTGTAGTATCGATTATGTTTCAGTTATTGTTCATTCTTAGTCCTGCTCATTTTATATGAAACCAAAACAGTTTTTAAGCTCTTGTTATCTGTTTGGAAATAAAGCATTCCATTCAGTTAAATGCTGTGTTGTTGGTTTCATTACTGGTCTTTAAATTTGGGGGTGGAAGAGGTGCATGAGCATGATTTTTTTTTAGGGGACAAGAGGGATGCGAGTCCCCCCCCCCCCCCCACGCATCCCTGGATACGCCACTGCACTAACATCATATTTACACAAAGTTTATAAATTATCCAACCGACTTGCTTATCAAAATATGACGTCGCAGTTTATAGCTTACTGTACCTTCAAATTATTTTAAATATAGAAAATTAAATTCATTAAAATTGAAATAATTTCATCAAAGTACATAAATGAGTAGTTGTTCGGATTTAGTGTGCTCTTACCAATTGCCAGATGCGAGTAATTACAAGGAGAATAAAGCACCAATCAGCAAGGCTTACAGATTCAAAAAATGCTACACAAATCTGGCATTGTCACCCATGGAATCCAAATAGACCACATACGCGAAACTTAGACAGCAAGCTCATTTACAAAGACGAAGTTGGGTTGAAGGAAAAAAATAAAATAAAGATCAAAAGAAGCACATTAATATGAACAAGGATAAAACACGACTCTTTTAAGCTTTGTTTCCATAAACTCGCTACAGAGCACTTTTTTCTGCACCATGTATCTGCTGTTCCCATCCCAGTTGGAGACACCCCGATTCATTTGACCATAATTTCACATCATCCGAATATCGGCGTTCAAAATGCCATTTTTTCGAAATAAAAATTTGAAAGTTAAAAAAAGAACATCGCATCATCCAGGAAGGAGAGGGCCAGCGTAAATGATTCAGGATAGGTAGTGCAGTTTAAATATAAAACATGTTTATAAACTTTACTAGGCATAATTATATAAAACAATATCGGAGGGGCGGATCCACAGAATTTCTGACGGGGGACCACAATATGAAGTTCTCACCACCACGCCCACCTCAGCCCCACGATGGTTGGTGTAAATAAGTGGCAGATAATCGAACTCTCCTTTCACATCTGCTGTTTATTCACCGTTTAAAGTAAAACCATGTCATCAAGATACAGTAGACAGAGGCGGGCTAAAAACGTTCGGATTTCTGGGGATTCAAACATCAATTGGTTTTTGTTTAAAGATGGAGTAAAAAAAAATGTTCATTCAACGAAAATATCCCTACCCTTAATCGGACTATGCATTTTACGCTTGTAATCCAAATCCAAATTCCTTTGAATTTTATTGTATTTTATTTCGTAATGCTTTTTAAAATCTTTTAAAATCTTTTTAGCTTGTAATCCCGAACTTTTTTTATTGAATTGCCCTACGTGGGATGAATAAAAAAAAATTGTATTGTATTGTACCATTGTTCATCCTTTGAACACTACCGTAAAACCATTAATTGAAGCTCTTGGCCCGTTAATATCGAGAAGAAGCCCATCTGAAATTGAAGCACCTCCCTATAGTTTGCAATAATATTAGCCTCGAGAAGAAGCCTACCCCGAAAAGAGGCCAGTAGCCTTCTCTTTTCAAAATACCATATGCCTTTCTAGATAGTACAGTACATACACTGTACATAAATTTAAAATGTATATTAAGACACGCTTGGTTTATACAGTAGTTTAGGTGATTTAATGCCGGTTAAATACACTCACTCCATGATACAGATTGATGTTATAGTGGCCTTATTTATTGTTTTATACTACCAATTGCCAAAATTGACAGCATTTTGAAGCCCCCTTTTTACTTTGCAATAGTAGCCTCGAAAAGAAGCCCGTCCAACTGAGTTCTCAACCTCCCCCCACCCCCTTCCAAAAAAATAAACAACAAGCAAAAAACAAAACAAAAACAAAGAAGCCCAGGGCTTTCGAGGTTTATGGCGTAGGCCTATATATGATATAACTGCTACTATAGGTTGAAATAATGTTAGCTCCACTATGTATGAGCCCTCAGTGATTGAGACTAGTGTTTTTAGAATGCAGTTGCTAAATTCAACCACTGTATCTAGAATCGAAGAGAATGTGGACATTAAGGTGTGGGAGGGGGGTGCTATAATGACAATGACATATTCTGTGCCTGATAAAATTCTGAAAATGCAGTTGCTAAATTCAACCACTGTATCTAGAACAGGCGCGTAACAGGGGTCTTGGGTTGGGGTGGGGGGTGGCAACGGTAATAATGTTCCTGGTTAGTAATTTATCATACCCACCCTACCCCCTTCCCCATATATAGAAAACAATACGACATAGGGCTTATCTTATTTATAATAACACCTGCACGCACGTGTGTTTGAAACTAAATATAAGCATTTTCATCATGGTTTTATTTATTACAAACATATTCTTTCACCATCATTACATCATTCAAGCCCTTCTTTTAGGTAAAACGATCTGTCTTTAATGTTCTTTCTATTTGAATTGGGACTATTATGTGTTTTATCAATTAGAAGGCAAAGGAAGACAAGCACAAGTTCTCATTCTCAAAAATGCGCGCGAAGCGCGAAAAATATTTTTTTTTTCTTTTAATCAATTCTAGTTCAGGGCTTATGTTAGTGGCCACAAACGTTTTTTTTTTAAAACTGAAAGCATTTTCATTATGGCTTTATTGATTACAAACATATTCTTTCACCATCATTACACATTGAGGCCCTTCTTTTAGGTAAAACGATCTATCTTAATTTTTCTTTCTTTAGTTTGGGACTATCATATGTTTAAATAAGCGCGCAAAATTTGAGATTCTTAGGCACGTTCAAGCGGTGAAAAGGTCATCTTCAAGGGGTGGGGAAAGATTTTCCACAGATGGATCCCCTTGTCTCCCGGTGGTTACGCCACTGCGGAGAATATCTAGCGGCTTAGGTCGAAGGAGCTATGGACACTTTTTGAAGTGGAGAAGGGGTTGCAGGGTGTTATGAGTCTCGTCTGGTCATCATAATATCTTCCTTTTTATTCTTGTATTTATTTTTCTCTTTTTCCTTTCCCTCCCTATTTCCATTCTTTCTCTTTCCCTTCCTCTCCCCTCTTTCTTTTCTCTTATTACCTAGCCAGGTA